ACCATGGAGTCCGTAAATACGAATGGGAACTTCAGAATCAACGCTACTATACCCGCCAGGTAAACACCGGTGGGAGCGCCTTGGATGTGTTAATGAAAGACCTGCTGGCTATTTTGATAAACAGCCTGCTGCCTTTAGTGATGAATGGCAAAACATACTGCCTCATTAAGTTGGCTTATGATTTGCTCAACTATATAACGATTGGTGGTGAAACAGTCATCGTGAAACTTTGGAAGAAGCTGATTGATACCCTAATTGGGCTTTTGAGGAAATCTCAGCCCATTGAATGGGGAATCTCCGCGACCGTACGCCGGATCCTCTCCTGTGTCAGGGGAGCCGATCTAAACCACAGCGTCGACGATTACTATGAGTACGTTTAAAGCCCTAGGCTCGTCATACTATACTTTTGCGACCCGACTCGACCCGACCCGACTCGACCCGACCCGACCCGAGGGCCAGGGCCATATAATGAAACAACGCAGTTTAAATTGTTGGGTTTTAAATCAAGCTTGGGCTCATGATTACAGTTAATGTGCCGGGCCGGGCCGGGCTTAGCCGACTATATATTAAAACCACCTTCAGTGAGGGGGGACGCAATCGATTCAGATTTTCGTTCGTACAAATAAAAAAACTGAATGAGCAGTCGTGTCCATTGTCTTCTTTAATATTTTTTAAAGCTCTTCGGGTTAACGCTGGTTCAGATATTGTTTATATTTATGATCATACGGCTTCTTAATGTCAGGACTTCCACGCAGACATAAAATGGCTGCTGAGATCCTGTCGGTCGCTGTGGCGTTTATCAGGAAATAGTGACTGATCGTGGTGTGTTTAAGGTCATTCAGAAAGCTCAGTATTTTTCAGTCTCCACGCAGTGTATGTATGTGTGTGTGTGTGTGTGTGTGTGTGTGTGTTCACAGAGTATTCAGGTTTGTATCTGTGTTTCTTCTGTTTTCTGTATAAAGTGTTATTATCAACTATATTTGAATAATCAATATTTGTTTGATCCACAAAATCAAATGTGACTGGGAGACAAACAATCTGCAGCAGAACCACAAAGGCTCATTGAAGAGCCAGCAGCATCTGCAGAGCAAAGTCCTTTAGTGTGCTCAACACGCTAACAGGCTAACAGGCTAACATGCTAACAGGCTAACAGCCTAATATGCTAACAGGCTAACAGCTTAACAGGCTAACAGCCTAATATGCTAACAGGTGAACAGGCTAGCTGTATTATTAGCAGTAATATAATAACTCTAATATTATAATAACTGTAATATTATAATAACTTATATAATAAGTAATATTTTAATAACTGTAATATTATAATAACTGTAATATAATAAGTAATATTATAATAACTGTAATATTATAATAACTGTAATATTATAACTATAATATAATTACTGTAATATAATAATAACTGTAATATAATAAGTAATATTATAATAACTGTAATATTATAATAACTGTAATATTATAATAACTGTAACATAATAACAGTAATATTATAACTATAATATAATAACTGTAATATAATAAGTAATATAATAACTGTAATATTATAATAACTGTAATACAATAAGTAATATTATTATAACTGTAATATTATAATAACTGTAATATAATAACTGTAATATAATAAGTAATATTATAATAACTAATATAATAATTGTAATATTATAATAACTGTAATATAATAACTGTAATATTATAATAACTGTAATATTATAATAACTGTAATATTATAACTATAATATAATTACTCTAATATAATAATAACTGTAATATAATAAGTAATATTATAATAACTGTAATATTATAATAACTGTAATAATATAATAACTGTAATATTATAATAACTGTAACATAATAACAGTAATATTATAACTATAATATAATAACTGTAATATAATAAGTAATATAATAACTGTAATATTATAATAACTGTAATACAATAAGTAATATTATTATAACTGTAATATTATAATAACTGTAATATAATAACTGTAATATTATAATAACTGTAATATAATAACAGTAATATTATAACTAATAATATAATAACTGTAATATAATAACAATAATATAATAACTGTAATATTATAATAACTGTAATATAATAACTGTAATATTATAATAACTGTAATATAATAACAATAATATTATAACTAATAGTATAATAACTGTAATATAATAAGTAATATTATAATAACTGTAATATAATAACTGTAATATTATAATAACTGTAATACAATAAGTAATATTATTATAACTGTAATATAATAACTGTAATATTATAATAACTGTAATATAATAAGTGTAAGTATATAATAAGATATAGTTACTCTAGATGGCATTACCTTGGCCTCTAGCACCACTGTCAGGAATCTTGGAGTTATCTTTGATCAGGATTTGTCATTTAACTCCCACATAAAGCAAAACTCCAGGACTGCCTTCTTTCATTTAGGTAATATTACAAAAATTAGACACATACTATCACAGACAGATGCAGAAAAACTAATCCATGCATTTGTTACTTCTAGGCTGGATTACTGCAACTCTTTATTATCAGGTTGCCCCAATAAGTCCATTAAAACGCTCCAATTAATTCAGAACGCTGCAGCACGAGTACTGACAGGAACTAGAAAAAGAGATCACATCTCTCCTGTACTAGCTTCTAAGCATTGGCTCCCTGTAAAATGTAGAATAGAATTTAAAATCCTCCTCCTCACCTATAAAGCTCTTCATGGTCAGGCCCCTTCATATCTTAAAGAGCTCATAGTACCCTATTACCCCACTAGAACACTACGTTCTCTGAATGCTGGGCTACTTGTGGTTCCTATAGTCTCTAAAAGTAGAACAGGAGCCAGAGCCTTCAGTTACCAAGCTCCTCTCCTGTGGAACCAGCTTCCAGTTGTGGTTCGGGAGGCAGACACCCTCACCACATTCAAGAGTAGGCTTAAGACATTCCTCTTTGATAAAGCTTATAGTTAGGGCTGGATCAGGTGAGTCCTGAACCATCCCTTAGTTATGCTGCTATAGGCCTAGACTATCGGGGGATTTCCCATGGTGCACTGAGCTCCTCTCTTCCTCTCTCTTTCTGCACTCATTCATGTCCCATTAATGCATGTTACTAACTTCACTTCTTCCCCGGAGTTCTTGTGCTTTCTCGTCTCGCAGGTTCTTGTCGATCCTGGTGGAGCCTCCTGCCATGGTCCTGCTAGATTGCCATTGCCAATACTGTTGTTGCTGTGCACCTGTCTGTCTGTCTGTCTGTCTGTCTGTCTCTCTCTCTCTCTCTCTCTCTCTCTCTCTCACCCCAACCGGTCGAGACAGACAACCACCCACCTAGAGCCGGAGGATCTGTCCTAGGTTTCTGCCTTTTAACAGGCAGTTTCACCTATAGACAGGAGGTGACAGTGCAGCCCTGTGGTTCTCAGTTCATCATATTAATATAACAGCCACCATTAGCCATAGTCTTGTCCATGTACAGTCAATGTGTGTCTATTCTGTTAAAGTACAGAGCAGCTAAAATGATTTAGATGCCAGATTTTATTGTCAAATAAGCTGATTTTAGGAAAGTATTGAGGCAGAAATGAGTGAATGTAATATGAGAGATTGTGAATTTTGATACTTTTGATTGATGTAAAGTAAGTTTAGATACATTTTAGAGATTTGATGTCTGATAAAGGCATACATGGTGTTTATTATTTATATATTTTACTATTGAATAGCCTTAATAACCTTTACATGCTTTATACATGGATGAAAGAAACATGTTGTGAACACAATAAACCAAAGTACAAGAGACAATGACTGTTTGCAGTTGGTAAATGTTTAATAAAATAACTTGAGAAGACGCTGAAGAAAGAGACACACATCTGCCTGCTTCATTTCTATTTCCTGTTTCCTAAATGTAAACATATTCCACAGTATTACTGGCCACCACAGACTCATTGAACATCCTCAGCATGGTCCTGCAGATGATGAAGGACCTCAGCCTCCTCAGAAAATAGAGATGGCTTTGGTTCTTCCTGTAGAGGGCTTGAGTGTTCTTAGTCCAGTTCAGTTTATTGTCCATGTGAACTCCCAGGTACTTGTAATCCTCCACAGTGTCTACACTGACCCCCTGGATGGAAACAGGGGTCATTGGAGCATCGGCCTTCCTCAGGTCCACAACCAGTTCCTTAGTCTTCGTCACATTGTGCTGCAGATGGTTCTGCTCGCACCATGTGACAAAGTGACCCACCACAGTCCTGTACTCAGTCTCATCCGCCCTGCTGATACACCCCACCACGGCAGAGTCATCAATTCAATTCAATTCAATTTTATTTGTATAGCGCCAATTCATAACAGAAGTTATCTCAGGACACTTTTCAAATAGAGCAGGTCTAGACCGAACTCCTTAAAACATTATTTACAGAGACCCAACAGTACCACCATGAGCACTTGGCAACAAGGGAAAGGAAAAACTGTCTGTTAAAAGGCAAAAACCTAGGACAGGTCCTTCAGCTCGACCAGTTGGGGTGAGAGAGAGAGAGAGAGAGAGGAAGAGAGGAGCTCAGTGCACCTTGGTGATCATTGGACAGCAAGACAATGATCCGAAGCACACCTCCAAGTCAACCAAAGTTTGGTTTAGAAAAAGATCCTGGACCGTCCAGATTTAAATCTGTTGCAGCACGGAAACTGAACATTTTCTTTTGTGTCATAGACACAATTATTTTTTGTTTTTGTGAAAAGAGAAAGAAAGAAAGAAGGAAAGAGAGGATAGAGATAGTGAGAAAGGATAGAGAAAGTGGGAAAGGACAGAGAGAGAGAGAAAGAGAGAGAGGTATTTGGGGTTTGTCTTTTTCACAGGAGCTCTGGGGGTCATCCTGCCAGTGACCGTTGCGCGCCGGTCAGGCATGGGAAGGCGTCGCCACGAGCCTGAAGCTCAGTGGCTCTACCGGGCTTCGAGGTCACCGTCGTGTCCCCGAAACCCCCCAGAGCTGAAGCTAAAGCCTGAGACAAGTCCTATCTATACTACTTTATGACAGCATAATGACATCACTGGTGACACGGAGTAGTAGTGGGCGGAGTTTGGAGGCTGAGAGGTGACTTCATCCCTCAACTTACAGTCAATATTAACAATATAATAATAATAATTATATTAAATGTTAAAAGCATGTAAAGTTAATGTAAAGCACTCACATTTGTTATACAGCATCCCCAATATGTTGTATTTATCATCATTAGTGTGTTTTATAGTTCTATATTATACTTTGTGAAGTTAATACTGTTCTTTTTCTGTTATCTACATATATGTTTGTAGGTTATTGCCCTGAATTTATCCCTCCATGATGACAGACAGACAGACAGACAGACAGACAGGGGGCCTGTAGCTGCTATCTCCGCCCCCCGCACACGTGACAGCTGGAGCACTGACTGGTTACAGACTTCAACAGCTCCTGTAGCGGTCACACTAATCCGAAGGTAAAGAAAACATTTTCTGGAAGTTATACAGAGGCAGTTGATCGTCAATATCATTATAATTATCAACATTATGTACCATATATTTTCTGTTCTGCAGTATTTTATATTAGTCTTAAGTTCTCCACGTTAACGGTTTGCTCTGAAATGCTGCCTCGCTAAACTAAGATTTATCCGACATGTTGTTCGCTCTGTAACAAACTCTCTATTTCTCTCCCTCTCTCTCTCCATATACATATATTTCATAATAATATGCTGCACCTCTATTAGAAGCTGTGTTTATTGTAAAAGTACTCAGATGAAGTGTGTATCAGTCAACCCTGTAGTCTGAGGTAGCTGTCCGGGTGGCAATTATCATAAATACATTAGTTATTCTTTTTTGTTATATAAATTTATCCATAATAATAATAGTAATTATTCTTCATGCATTTAAGTAATGCATTGCTCATTAATAATAATAGAAAGATGTGTTAGAAAGAATACAACTATGCACAATATGGATTTTGTTTTATTTCATTTATTTTTTCTAGTAAAGTACATACAAAACATAAAAACATACTTTCATTGAGAAAATAACTTTAAATTATTATTATTATTATGGACCAGTTATTTATCAGCTGTAATTTAATTGTCAGGATACCTTCATACTTTCATAAATTATCTGTCCTGGTAGTTTTTTGCCTCTAAACTCAGAACCAGATTGTGATGTTGGTCTCTTTGCATATCAGACTCTTTTATGAGTGAGTGAGTCTCGAGATGTGAGTGTGTTTCCTCTCATATAAATCCAGACATGCGGGTGGCAGTGATTGGAGCTGGAGTCATTGGCCTGTCAACAGCTCAGAGCATCTATGAGCAGTATCACTCCATCGTCAGTCCGCTGACCATTGAGGTGTACGCGGACCGTTTCACGCCACTGACCACCAGTGATGGAGCTGCTGGCTTCTGGCAGCCGTACCTCTACGATAAGGGCAACGTCCAGGAGACGTACGTGCAGTCTGTTTAACCCTCTTTTTATTCTCTATTTTGTCTGTCGCCACCATTTTTTAATGTTGTATTTGTGCTCATGTTTAGAAAATGGAATAAAGAGACATTTGACTACTTGCTGAGCTTCCTCAGTTCACCAGAGTCCGTAAAAATGGGTATTTTTCTTCAGTCTGGCTACAACCTCTGCTCTGAACCAGTCCCAGTGAGTAGAGCTTTGTTCTGAACAGTTGAACCTGACCTCAAAGATAAGGTTTGACATTGTTTAGGAAAAACTTTTACAACCAAGACCAAAAGGTGCCGCACAGCTTCAAATAGAAATATAGTTAAAGTGTAACCTCAGATAACGCGTTCATAAATTGATCACGTGATCACCAGAGAGTGACTGAGTGAAAGTAGAGCTTTGTTCACTGCACAAAGATGGGGGCCTGCAGTGGTAGGAAAACAATAACAGAGAGGCCTCATCAAGGGTTTGAACTTGGGGTTAGCACATTAACACAGCTAAGACATGTTTAGTGTATAAATGATTGTGTTCTCATACTATGTGGGTCGTTTTTGAATGCAGGATCCCTCTTTCAAAGATATTGTCCTGGGCTTCAGGCAGCTCACAGAGAGAGAACTGCAGATGTTCCCCGGATACAAGTAGGTTCCCGCTGAAACTGCCATGAAAGCAAAACCCAGAGAGAACATTAGTTAGGTAGATTGTGTATTTAATGCTGAACATTTGAACCTTTCCAACCAAGACTTTGCTGTGTATCAGAAATCAAGAATACAGAAAAATGTCTTCCAATATGTATATAATAATGTATATAATGTACACAGATGTTTATCCTGATAAAGGGATTGTTCTGATTTCTGATGCTTTCATCAGGCAACTTACTGTAAATGTTTGTATGTGAACTATCTGTGCATCATTGATCTGTTTGTTTTTATCTCTTTAAACAATATATTGCTAATATTTAGGATTGTATGTATAATTCTGTGTTCAGCAGCTCTAACACATCTGTCTCCTCTTCCAGTTATGGGTGGTTCAACACTGCTCTCATGGTGGAAGGTAAATCCTATTTGCCCTGGCTGATGGATTGGTGAGTGATTAACTTCTCTCTTAAGTAACTCTCCATGTTGTATCAGCACTTTATTTACCAGAGCTCAGTTCATCTGGTGTAGTGCCTGTTTACAACATCATTTATTACCCAATAAAAAGGTGAATGGAGGCACTCGATTGCTTGTTAAATACACAATGTATTGACTTGTTTAAATTAAACAACACTAATTTCTGCTTTAAATTGTTTACCATTTACTATACTGTGATTCTTCTGAATCACTTCAACAAGTCTGAAGTTTTACGGGATATACATACCCTTATATACTGGATTAAAATAAGTGCAAAGTAAAAAGTAGTGTACAGTGTATACCAACTGAGTGCTAACCATCATGCAGTGCTGTAGTCAAGACCCCCTTTGTCAGGTTCAGGACCAGCCGAATCCAAGAGAGAGACAGAGTCAAAACCAAGACAGAAATGAAACAATGCTTTTGCCAATGAGATGAGTTTGTGCAGCCAGGTCATTGATTGAATGTGAATGCCCGTTATAGATAGAGTTTGAATTAAACCAATAAAAAAAATGCTCTTTACCAATGGTTCCATTTTGAAAGAGGAAGTTCAGAAAACAAAACATATAAGTGTGGATGGCCAAATCTGAGACAAGTCCAAGTATTAACAAGTCTGAGACAATAAAAAAAACTTCTTGAGTCTGAGAACTGGTCTTCTGAGGTACTACAGCACTGCTGCCATGCATCATGCAGGTGTGAGAAAAAGGCACATTTAGACAGCTGCCAGACGGGAATGAGCTTGTTAGTGTCTGAATTGTTCTTAAAATGTTTCCATCTGACCCATTGTCCTCAACATATGAGTCCCTATACGCTGTATAATGAACAGTAAACACAGCCTGTCAGTTGTTTTTCTTAATCTATAGTTTTAGGTCAAAAATCTTGATTTTCAGTGGTGTTTTCTGGAGCTCATTATCTGTTTTTTGGTGTCATTCTCAGGTTGCAAAAAAGGGGTGTGAAATTTTACAACAGGAAAATAGAGTCCTTCAAGGAGGTTAGTGAAGGCTTTTCAATTTTATAGTTGCATATACTGTATATATTTATTATTATATTTTATACAGTCAGACATCCAGAATATTGTATTCATTCTAGCTTACATTAAGAGATACTCACAAAATGTGTTATCACTTGTCGTATTTGTTATTTCTTATCATGCTGTATTTAGCTGGCAGAAACTGGGGCAGACGTGATAATAAACTGCACGGGTATAAGATCAGGAGAGCTCCAGCCAGACCCCGAGCTCAAACCAGGCCGCGGTCAGATAGTGAAGGTGAGAGAAGACGGGTTCAAATGTCTGTTAATAGTTCATATAACCAGCTGTAAAGGAACCACGTAATAGCGGTTGAACCTTCCTCTGTTTCTCAGGTGGACGCTCCGTGGCTGAAGCATTGGATTCTTACCCACAATTTTACAACAGGAGTCTACAATTCACCGTACATCATTCCAGGGTAGATCTAGTGACACAAAAACACTTATTAACACTGATCTTAGATGGATGTACAGTATCATATATAATGCACACACAGTGTTAGTTTCTATAGAGTGATTATTTATGAAATATAGCTTTATTCCAACCATAGTTGCAGTGGTTATACTGTGTTGTCCAGCTACCATGGCCCATTCTGTTGCTTTCTGCCAGAGCACTTGTAATTTGCAATGTTTTTTGGAGCCAGAATGCTACAAAGCCAAAGTTGTTTTCGTGACCTAACTTCACATCTGTGTGTGCAGGAGTCGTCTTGTGACAGTCGGCGGGGTTTTCCAGTTGGGAAACTGGAGTGAACAGAACAACTCCACCGACCATAAGAATATCTGGGATGGCGCTTGCCAGCTTGAACCCAGTCTCAAGGTATCCAAATGTTGTTTGTTTAACAGGCCATAAAACAAATTACTCTCTCATCTGTTATTTACAGCGAGTGCTACAGTATATTTAGAATACAGTCCTCAAATATTTGAGTGACAATTTGGTGCACCAATACCCAAATCTGAAGGCACAAAACCCACTTGATTAAAAGATATAATGTGTAGCTTTTCCTCATTAAACTATCTATGAACACTAGACCAATGTTATATATTACCCACAATGTTTTTTAACAATGTCCAAACCCAGAGAAATCTGGGTTATTTTATTTATTCACGTAACGGTGCATTTTACCGCTCATTTACCCTTTGCACATGGATTTTGGTTGTGGACGTTTTATCCAGTTTTAAGCCACATCTCTACAATACTCTTTTTAGTTCTTGGTTGTTTTTAACTATATATTTAAACCAGATGAAGAATTTTAGTCATCAAAAGTCTCGATTTTAAGTTATCAGAGAAACTAGCTGAGCTAACGTTAGAAGGGGCCCAACTGGAAGGCCCTCCGGGAGGTCCTTTGTCTGCTGAACAGTGTTAAAGAATCCCTGATTTTTAAGGTGAAACTCCTTTATTCAGTGTTTTTACCGGTTTTAATCACCGGGTCTGTTTGTTGTGGAGAGGAGACATGGTAAAAACCTCCTGAACAATGAACACTGAAGGAATCCTAACTGAGAAAAGCTGACTGCAATGATGGCAACAATTCCCATCATCCCACACTACTTTAGCAAACTTTTGTTATTGTTTAGATGTGAGAGACTCCCCCCTAGTGGCAGAATATACATAATGTATGTCTAACCTAAACAAAGAAATCATAAAGTAATGATTTCTTTCAAGCTTGAGAAAGATTATGTCTTGTTCTCTAACCACAGAATGCCAGGATAGTAGAGGACTGGTCCGGCCTCAGGCCTGTCCGCAGCAAAGTCCGACTGGAGAGGGAGGCCATAAAGTCTGGTGCAACTTCAATAGAGGTAAACTTTAACAGCTAAGCAATGCTTTAAATATTAATTTCTGGTCACTTAACTTCTGAAATATCTTTGCTCTCATTCAGGTGATTCACAACTACGGCCATGGAGGTTTCGGACTCACCATTCACAGAGGCTGCGCCCAGGAGGCAGCGAGGCTCTTCGGTCAGATCGTGGAGCAAAAGGCAAAGGTCCAAAAGCCCGCTTGTAAATCTGTTCGGCAGCAGTGATTGGTGCTCCTTTTCAAATTTCAATGCCAGTGCCTTGTATCTCATAAAAAACACTGATCTTATCCATAACTAGCATTTTAAAGCAAACAGATATTCAGCATCATATATTTTTGAGGTAATTACATCACTTTAAAACAACGTAATGTATATGTAACATCCATTATTAATTCACATGTAACAAAATCAATCATAGGAGGTTTGGGTCATTTAAAAGAAGTATATAAAGTGTACCTCTCTTTCACTCATCACACTGTTTAGTAAAAAAATAACAACATGAATCCACTGCTCTTTTTGAAAGGTTATTTACTATAGTATCATACACATTTACATCCAGTGCATTGACAAGAATCTGTGCACACAGACACTTAATGCAGCACTATATCTCAAACACTGGCAGGTAAGACTCAGCTTGCCTGTACTAGTTAACCTTTTTTAAACAAAACTTTACTCAGTGTGGGCAAAGTCCGTCTTCACATCACCTTTGTTACAAACAAAAGCAAAGACAACAACTAAACCAGGTATTGATACAGTATTTACAGAAAGACAGAACGCCCTGCTAAATGGTTGTGTATGCAGCATGGATTTTAGATCGTAACACCATATACTCATGTTAATAAATCATGTAATTCTTACTTACTAGGTTGAGCGTTGGGTGATGAAAATACTTAGATTTAGATTTCCTAATACTTCAATTTACATTATGTCGTCTTCAGTCCAGGATCTGTGGTTCCAGTTGTGCTATAATTATGAAATATTCTCGCCTGTATGATGCTCTGATTAGGGCTTTTTCAGATGAATGTAAATAAAATCACCACGTAATGATCAAGACGTGAGGTGGTATTTTCATTATTATTAGAGTAATACCTGCTTTTTCCTCATTTCTTTAGCAGAGAACAAATATCCATCCATGTTGAAATGTGAAATAATACTGACACAAGAAGAAAGAACAGACACAGGATTTCAAAAGGATGCTTACAGTATACGAGGAAGTCAGTGACTCACTGTGCAGTCTGTCATTTCACTGCCTTGACAGAAGTGAATCCTAAATGGAGAAACCACAGACCTTATTTAATCAAACGGTCTGTTGATTCGATAAACTGTTCTTCATTCCAGCAATGCACTTTTTTTTTTAGAAAGCTGAGTTTGCAATTAGTGTATTTTAACAGGCAATTTGTGTGCACAAGATAATGCTCTGTCTTATCTACGCATCTATGTCCGTTATGCTAGTAGACGCAGCTTTTTCATAAGGTTGAGAAGACGTTTCTCAAACACAAACAGAATAGGTAGTTTTTAAGGCTCCTTGAATTAGGTATTTGAAGCTAACTTCTAACACGTTTACCTTCTTTATTCAGGAATCAAATACTTTGCTTGAAGTATTTGAATTCTCACTTGTTCAAGGATGTTTAACACATCGTTCCACCAATAATTTTCTCGATATTGCACTTGTGTAGGTCAGTTGGTCTCTCACAGTCACTCTGTGCGCAGTTATTCAGTGGCGAAATTGTGACAGCAATGGTGGTTGAAGACTATATAATAATAATATATAATATTGTGCTGCCTGGCTCTCTGAAGCCACTGTGGTGCCTAAACTGAAGAGTCATAGGATGGGACTGGAGATGGACACCGAAAGCTGGTTGAGCTTTTTTTTCCGCCTCTCCTTGCCTATTTTTCCTCACAGTGGTTGCCTCTCTCAGTCGTTCTCCATCCCGACGTCTCCTCAGCCCTGGGAGCCAGGGCTGGACTGAGGGATTCTCTCTGAGTTGCGGGAGGAGTCCCGGCCCACCATCTCCTGGCCCCACTCGCGGTGGCTGGACTCCTGCAGGCCCCGGCCTGTTGTCTCAATTGGCAGGGCACAGGAGGCGATGGCAGCTAGGAGGCAGCAGCAGCAGTACACGGACAGAGCCAGATACACAGACGACTCCAACATCACCTGCAGGATGTAGCCCGGGGACAGACAGACAAATTACCACCGCTTTCTTATGCTGTTAAATATTTAAATGAGGAAGCTGAAGGGCGATACCTGTGCAACAAAAGGAGTAATGAGGGCTCCAACTCTGGCCATTCCACTGCTTGTTCCCAGACCTAAAGCCCTGGTCGCTGTCGGGTACACCTGCAGAGTTTCAGAAAATACTGAGGAGGCTGCCCTGATGTTTGCTCCACTCAGCTATTGATCTCATCTGAGCTGTACTATTAACTGTTTGCAAGTATCATACCTCTGGAGTGTACACATAGGCAGCCTGAAATCCTCCCGCGATGAAAGCTCTGGCGATGAATATCAACACTGTCATGGAAACTCTGCAACAGAGAAACCAGTAATGCTGGTTAAATAAATGAGGGAGCTGCAATTTCATGTTTAACAATCTCACTAGTATCCAGCTTACCTCCCGACACAACCGTAGAGTGGAATGATGCACATAGAGAATATAAAGAAACACAAGGCCATGGTCTTCCTCCTTCCCAGTCGATCAATGGCCCACAGTGTCACCAGCAGTCCTGTGCAACAATGCAAAACTCCATATTTGTTAAATGTAACATGCAGGATTGCTCTTTGTTTCAGTGCAGTAATTAATTTATGCTTTTATGGTTTACTATGTGCACAGATCTTTCTCAAGCCAGACATTTTGACATATCATTGGAGCAAAAGCACAGGTTTAACTAATAATGTTAATAATGGCTCCATTTTATTTAGGTGAGCTGGTAGTCAGTGAGCCAGCGTGCCAGCAGGGCCCTGGCACGCCTATACTGAATGCAGCCATCATTAGTGGACAAATATTGTAGCTGCAGTTAAATACCTTTCATAAAAATGACTTGATTGTGTCCTTTCTCCCGAAACTTCAGACTTAGGACAATTAAAATCCAGTTATGTTTGTTAAAATCAAAGTAATGGGAATATTCCCAGATCCTGAATGCAAGCCTTTCCATCTTCCAAGCTATCATTATGATGGTTTACTTATAAGTTATTGCTGTTCTCCTTAACTGATCTATCCCTGAACAAATGTAGTAACAGCTGTAATAATTACACAGTATTTAGCATTATTATGAAGACCTTTTTAGTACTAGGAAATACCATAGCAATAGGTGGAGCAACTAACAAGCATTTACTGGATATTATCCTTTAATAAAGAACATTTAGTGAGTACTGAGAAAAAAACATACAGCATGCAACTTGCAACCACAAAAACAAAACATTATTGACAAAAAATACTGACTTTGTGAAGACATTTAACTGGCGTGTACCTGGGAATTCAGATAAGGTGGTCCACAACAGGTCTTTGTAGTCGTCAGAGTTCAGATATTTACACTCCAAGTTGCATCGGAGCTCCCTCTTATTACCTTTGGACACTAGAGGGAAGCATAAAACAACACAAACGGCAGAGTTCATACCCAGCAGCCTCTGTGTTGCTTTTTTTAACACAGTATAAATGTATAGACCTTTATCGTGGCAGACATTTTGATTAGGCAGAGTAGGAAAAGCACAAGTGTAACTAATGATATTAACAATGGCTCTGTTCCATTAGAGTCCTTGTAACCAGCTTTAATGTTATCAGGTACACCTGTGCTTTTCCTGCTAACAGATGTTACATTTCTTAAAAGTGGTTGATTCTTTCAGAGACATTTTCGATGCTTATTCATTCCAAATATAAAGACTGTCAACACAAGTCTCTGTTTAGAATCAGAAATGTTTATCTCACAGTTCAACCCACAAGTCACTGAACTACAATATCTCTTTCCTCAGTATACCAAATCAAAATGTGTGTGTCCTTGAATCTGTGAGGGCGTCTGTTGGTGTCGGAGCAGTGACTCACTTCCACATGCGCCTCCCTCCTGAAACAGCTCCGTAGTGAGCAGCACCAGTCCGTAGTAAGAGAAGGCGTTGGCGAACCTGAAGAGACAGAGAAACAGGATGAAACAATGGTGGCTCACACGAACTGAGTGAGAGACTCAGACTCATGTGTCTGTGGACTTGGAGAACATAAGGTGTTTGCAGAGTTGAGAGAAAGGTGGCTTTATCGTTCACTCCACTTACCAAATAAACCACAGCAGAACTGTAGTCCAGCGAAAGTGTGATGAAAACAAGTCTTGAATCTTTCCACGATCCTCCTGATTAACAGAACAGACACAAAGACAAGTGAACATATAACATACCAGCACATGAATAATGTCCAGAGAGTCTGCAGAAACAGGCCTCTACCTGTCTGGCAGCGATAAGTTTTCCCAGTGGCATCGGTGCTCCGTTCTCCGTCGCAATCCGCTTCAGTGTGGCCAGAGCTTTTTCCTGGTTCCCCGTCAACACATCGTACCGAGCACTCTCTGGTAGCCACTGCTCCCAACCCCCCAAAAAACAGACAGGTCAGTTTATAAAGCTATCATTTGTTATTATCATCATCATTATTATGGCTGTTATCATCCCTGTCATCATTATTATTAGTCATATTTCTATTAATATTGTCATTATTGTTATTTTTGTGTCTCTGTCTCTGTATAATTCAGCCAAATTAAGCAATGTTTTCACTTAGGACTGGTATGTGTGCTCATATAACACTTTTATTATTGGTTATTATTTAGTGTAATTATTCCAAACCTTATAATTTCTAAAATACAATCATTTTAGATTGTGCTTGGTATAAAAACCTTTAATAATGTAAAAACATCAAACAGATCACCACCGGGTTGCCCACTTGAGCTGCTTAGACACACTTAGCCTACACAAATATAAATGTTAAACTTTTGTCAATATGGACATACTACACATCCTTAGATCAGTTAGACTCTCCAGATTTCAATCCTTCAGTTCATTTTACAGAAACTATGAGCACCAAAGTATCAAATGATCAAATAAATGATTCATAATTGATGTTATTCGATAGCTTACTTTATATACAAGTAATATTAATTCAAAAATCTTAATTTTAATGTGATAGTATTTCCCATCTTTTCAGAGCTTTCTGAGTCTTGTGCAAAAGGAATTAAAGGCCTAAATAAAGCAACATTTTAGGGCTGATAACGTAATACTCACGAAACATAGGATGGCAAAGATGAAGAGAGGAATGGTAGAAAGGCCAAGCAGCCAACGCCAGCCCAGAGTGGGCATCACCAGGATTGCTAAGAGGACCTCAAACACGGTGCCCAGTGCCCAAAATATCTGCAAGGCAAAATCTAAATTATACAAAATCCTGCAAGCAAAATAAATCATTTCAGTGCTGTGCAGTTATGCTTGCATGTTCTGTCATCTCTGGATGTTAACACTATTTCTAGGTGGATGATAGATGTGTGAGACCGTAGTAAAGGGACGTCCATACCTCAATCAGCAAGATACACGTGGCTCTGGACTTCATAGGCAGAAATTCAGCATACAGAGTCACCCTTATGAGGACAGACATTTCCCAGTTAATTCTAACTCAAATAATCCACTGCACTGTTGTTTGTGGGTAAAGATAGATGTGGATTACTCACGACTGTGGGGCTCCTCCGATGCCAAAGCCAACCAGTGCACGGAGGACGAGGATCCAGCCATAAACAGGTGCAAATGCACTCAACAGGCCATAGAACATAGTCCACAGCACACTCATCTTGAGACCCTGTGTGTGCGTATGATCAGAACACAACAAGCTGCTAAATAAATGATCTGATGAAGCTCTTCGGGAGAGAAATCCAAAAGCTAAACATTTATAAACTCAAGTATAAAGGTAGAAAGAAATACGATATAATAATCTACATGTCAAAACAGAGGCTTTAATTCAAACTTACTGTCTTTCTGCCGTATTTGTCAGCTATATTTCCCCAAAGAAAAGAGCTGATCATCATTCCAATAAACACTGCCTGCATGT